TTGAGGTGTTCTTCTTGCTTTGTGGTGGTGGAATTCTATGGGGCGGTTCAGAAGACACTCATACACTCCTTGCAACTTCAGCATGTTTGCTCCGAAGATCTTTTGTCCTATCTTTGTGATGGCCTGGACTTCCTTTGCCTGGAAGTTTGGGTTCTCAAGCACCTTTTCCAACAACTTATGGAGAGGAAGAGTAGGAGTATTGTATGCACAGAAGAAGACCTTTGGACATCACGGCTTTCACCCAGGGTCACCCATGCGCTAGTCGTTGTCCTCAAAAAGGATCCCTCCAACTCACCTATGCAGGTCCAAATTTCCCGTTTGACGAAGTCCAGGTCGATGACGATGATGCGTTCCATGTCTAGACAATCATCTTCAGGATCTGTCTTCCAAATCTGAAGAGGTGCGAAGCGCGTTCGATTTTTGTTTGTGATCTTCTTCTTCTTCTTCTTCTCGTTTGTATTATTTTGTGTATCTTTTTTTTATTCTTTATCGTTTCTTCTTCTTCCTTCTTCTTCTTATTCTTCTTCTTTGTCTTCTTATTCTTCCTTATTCTTCTTCTTCTTTTTCTTCTTCTTCTTCTTCTTTCTTCTTCGTGCGAAGAACGTCGTGCGTTGGGTGTTGAGGGGTCATCCGGAACTTCAACAGTATCGCAATTGATTTTAATGTCACAGCAGCACGATATCATCGCGACCGGAACCCCATTCTCCTTCCGAAACCCATCCCTTATTTGCGTGCCGGTCTCGGTAGTCACCGGCGCATGTAGACTCTGTGGTCTCCTCTTGGTGGTTATATACCGTAGAGGCGTGGAGTCTGACTCCATGGTGAGACTCTTGGTGACAGCACCAAGTTCATGGGATGACGGGGTCACCGAGGTCACTCATGGGCACATCGGTTCCAGATGAAAAGAACATCCAGGATCCTGGAGCGTTGTGAGTAGCATGGTGTTATCCCTCCAGTTGTGGGAAAAGGATCAAACCCATACTCAGATGCCCATGCCTCTTTCAGGTGGAGTCGGACCCCCCCCCCCCCAATTTCCACTCATGCTGGGCTTTTGGCGCATGACCCCTCAGACTTCTTTGGTCAGTTCGGTGGGGGCTGAATTCGAGCATGTTTCACCACGACGAACTTAGGAAAGAGAGAGCCGCCCGTACTGAGCCAATGGAGTGCTCAGTACGGGGGGAAAAAAGGCCTTTCGGTGGTGGATCTTCAATCAGGAGTTGTTTCGTTGGGTGTTTTTCGGTCGGTTTCGGTAGCCGCGGACAGTCCGAGCTGCTGGTGAGGTCAACCGGTCAACTGTCCTGGCTCCTGGTGCCCTGACCCAATCCGTTTTGACGGTCGCGAGGCACCATGCAGGCGCATCATGCAGGGCGCGCACCTGCCGAAAACATCACAGGAGACGGATTTCTGCTGGCGAAATCTCCACTACTCGCAGTCCGGAGAGCTGATTAGGCCCCTTCGGTGCCTTCTATACTCCACTAAGTGGGGGTTCTATAGAGGGTGTTCTGTCCGTTGTATGTGGAGTGCAGTTTTGCGTGCCAGTGATCTGTGTAACAGGTCCATTCTGATTCTCCGCATTTTTTGTGCTAGAGGCTCGGTGGGTGATTCGCCGGTTCTGGACAGAAGCAGAGGCTGATCTCCATTGGGGCTGTATAGACTGTTTTGTTATGTCTCCACGGACAATTAACGATTTTTCTTGTCATTTGTTAGGTCACTTTCTCAATCAGTAATTCAGAATCCCCAAAAACAGAGAAGGACCATCTAACTCTGTTCTTGACCCTCGAGTAGGGCAGCCTTGCCTTGCACAGCCAGCTTTTGGGTTCTAAGCTGGATGCTCATCTTGCGTCAGAACATGCTTGAGAGGATAGGGATTGCCCCTTGTCACATCCACTCACGGGACTCGAAAGACACGACATGAACCTGCTTGGCAGCTCTACAGATCAGATCTCAGTCAATCGCCATCGCTGTCTCGGGGGAAACAAATCCATCAGCACCTTTTTCAAGCACGGGTTGATTTGCCCGTGCTTTGAACCGCCGAGCCGTGTGCTGAGTGGTTCCGGGTGTCCGATCCCGGCACCACCGCGCAGAAGTCGCAGCGCCTTTCGACACGACGTGGCGGAAGTCAGCAGCGGAAGTCGGTGGGTGAAACGTGTCTTTCGAATGGCAAGTGGACCGGCCGCGTGGTTGGTGACAAAGCATCTGGTCAAACAGAGTCTGAGCTACTAAAAGAGTTGTTCAAAACCCTTGGTGATTCGCGCGGTTTGGCACATCCATCCCATTGAAACTAGGGAACAAGAGCCTCAGCAAAGGATCATCCAGTGTGTGCTGGCGGAAGGAACCAATCACCGCTCATCTGCTGGCTGCGCCTGACACTGAATTCACCCACAAGCACCGGTCGACTCGGCCGGATGGCGTTTGTTCTCCCAGACCACGCCCAACAATGAGCACTTCCATGCAGACCCGAAGACCGGCAGACCTTTGCTTAGGTGAAGTAGGCAAGGTGCAGTAGGCTGTGACAATGTCCACTAGACTGTCTAGTGACGCAGACTTCTTCAGCCATCAAGTGACTTGGGATGCCCCAAAATGAATTCAATTGATCAGAACATGGCTTCATCCTATACTATTTTGATACCAGGTACTTTCGAGAAGGACACGAGACAAAGGTCGAGGCAGTGGTCCTGTTGGAATCTAAGTCTTACCCGTTCGCAGTCCGATGGCTCGATCGGATGAACGTCGAGGGGATATTTCTCTGAAGGATCCAGAGTTCGGCGCATATGAATCCATATTGAGGCTGATTAGACGTGACCATTGATGTGTGCACATATTATAAGTTTATGCTTATAGTCCATGGCATTCATGTTGAGAGTTGAGAGCACCAATAATGTTAAAGAATGTATTATTTGTTTCAGATTGGCTTGGACAGATTCGTAAGTCGCGCTATTGGTTTCAGATATTTGTATGAGGAGCCCCTAGTAGCGTCCTTGCTCCTAGTAGTAAGGCCAGGAGCCCCGTTCGTGGCTTCTTGTTACTAGTATGTGTTCAACCTTTACTTGAGATTATTCCACTAAACTGTGGCCTCATTCGTTCGTTGAAACCACCCGGTGTAAGAAAAAGACCTCCCAGCTAGAGCGATCGGCGTCCGCTGCCATCTCCTTGCACCACCGGACTTGGGCTGCCATCTACTCTGAACCCACTACAGCATATTGAGACCATGTCTACTTGAGCCTCATATATAGAGACAGGGGCTTTAAATTTTTTATGCTGTAACTGCTCCTAATTCAATGAGGTATATTGGAACACATAAAACCACGTTTTTGTGGATACGAGGGTACCTTGTGCCTGCAGGAATCTATTGTTTAATGACATGTTTCATGGTTGGTTCCTTTTGAGACCTTATATATCCTTTGTGTTATCTGTTACTTTTGCCTTACATTTTGCGCAATGATTGCCTCATGTTTAGCGAGCTGGCTGTACAATCACCAGTTGAATATCGTGTTGGTAGGGGATTATACTTTAACATGCACTATAGTGTAAGGAATTTAATGGTGGATTATGTCAACCCCTATTAACTCCATGTCAATCCCATTAATAATCAATATATAATATCAACCAACTTTCCAGGATTGGACACCAAGTCTGGTCCACCGCTCAGGGTAGATCAAGTTGTTGATGCTTTCCAGTCCTGAACGATCAAGAGAATTGTTTGTTTTTTTTCTCATGCCGCTAGTGATGCGTTTCAAGGGTATCTTGGCAGGGTGAAGTTTGAGGATACAGTACGATCAAGGCTGATTCAGAGGATGTGATTTCATCAACTCAACTAGTCTCCTTTCAAATGATTGGTTTTTCATGCACCAAGATCCGGAAAAAAATAGACAGACCAACGTCGACTGATCAGAAAGATGTCACGGCGTCCAGCCTCATCAAGTTGTCTTGGTGTGTGAGGCACGTCGACCACCTGAAAGGTGTGATTTGTCGATGTCTCACACACCTAAGCAGCATAGCCGCTAAACATCGCTAAGCTAATTGTTTCCTATGTATTTACTAATATGTCCTAATGATGTTGATCACTAGTGGAAGCTTAACTTCCTCAACATAAGCTTAGCTCTGCGATGCCTTCGCGATGTCTTCGCGATGCATCACGCGTCCTTGTGGGCCGTGGGCTCTTCTGTCCCGGCTTCACTCCATCGAGAACTACGACGGCTGAGACGCTCTTCAGTTCTTCTTGACCCGTTTCGCGCGGCGAAAATGGCCTCCGGCCGCTTTTTCTGAGGCTTTCTCTTTGGTTTTCCTGGACATGGGTGGCTTTGTCTGAGAGCGGAACCGGACCACCGACGTCCGGGGCGCCGAGCGGCCCTTCCCATGTTCCCATGATCTTCCCCCTGCTGGACCGTTGATGGACCTGGATTCCTTTTGGCCAGGATGGACCTAAATCTAGGGATCAATACTCGGTCCAGGGCGGGGAAGGTGGTCTTCGTTGGAGTCTAGGGCGGTCGCACTGACACCGTCCGAAGTGAAGGGGGTGGACTGAGCTGTCGATGTCTCAGCTGTGCAGCGAACCCAGTCTTCCCCAGCCGCCCTTCACCCAGTCTCTCACATGTGAGCACCGCAAGAAACCTCCCAAGATGAACTAAGTAAAGGCCTTATCATACGTATTTTGCAGAGCTCATGTGGGTTTGTATCTTAATAGGGGATAATAGGACCTCCCAACTTTCGAGGTCGAACTGAGGGGTCCTTGAGCTGTAGACCATATCACACCCATGTAGACCCAGTGGTTCATGGTGAACAATTGTGAACATCACCTTTTGGAGAATCCAATCTCTGTTTTTCCTCCAAAGAAGCGCGATCAAGCGCGATCAAGCAGCCCAACGTCACTTAAAATAATTTTGAAGGGATCCAATTCCACTGATATGTTTGTTCTTGACTTCGTCCAACCCTGAGCCTTGAAACACCGTCCCTCGCACCCCAAGCCTATTCGACCCCAAGCCCATCTCGGGTAGTTCCAGGATCCACAAGCCCATTCTGTCGCTGGTCTTGCAAAAGTTTGGCCCGGTGGACCCAGCAGACCCCCGGATTCGATGCGACGTGAACCCCTTCGACCGAGCCGCGGGTGGGTGACAGAAACCGTGACCTGCCGTCGGTTGTGGTTGGACCGCACCCAGCGGTGCTGAAGTGGCAGCGCAGCCCAAGGAGGTCCTTTTTAAACCAAAAGCTCCACTGGCGTCGTTTTCAGTTGGTTTGTTTTCGGTGATATCCAGGAGAATTTGACCTTGCGGAATGCAATGTTGATGTGTTGATGCCTAACAACACTGGGGTAGCGGACGTCAAGACCCTAAATTGCGGTCCCTAGACCATGCATGTACTAGTATTGGACTATTTATCATACATTGGGTGGTTTCAGGGGGAGCATCTTACTCTATGGACGGTCTGCGGTCTGTGTTTCTTCTGAGGTTTTGTAGCCACCGAGCCGTCTTTGGAATTGAAGGTGGCCGCAGCCAGGCCACCGCAGAGGACGGGGCGCTGGAAACATCTTTGGAGTGTTCAGATGAATTTGGGTGTGGTGAGTGGGGTGACGGTATGTGACGATGATTGGCAAGTGATGCACAGGTGTGTTTGTTTTCCCCGAATCCGTAGCGAAGGGTTCTCGTTTAACTCTGGGGGGTCTGGGGGTAGAGCCTAGTTCGCGACCCGTTGTTTCTAAGTTCGCAACCGTCCGCAGTAGAGCGCTAAGGCGCTGCCATTGGGGGAAGCTTTTGGAGAGGGCTTCGGATGAAAACGTGACGTGTCAGATTCGTGTCAAATAGCGTGGAAACGTGTGCAAATGTAATATGTTGAAGTATGGAGGTTGAGTTCAGTGCGCAGGCGCAGCGTTTTGTGAGATCCGCAGTTTTCTGCGCAGTTCCATTGGGATTAGCGTTTGGAGAGTGGTGTTTTTGAGGTGTTGGGTGTGGCCGTGCCATTGGGATTTGCGTTTGAGAGTGTGGCATCGAAGCTCTGTTTTCGTGACAAGTTTCAGCTGAAATGGCGAGTTTGGTGGATGGGAGTGTGCTCAGAACGGGTCGAAATCATTCCAACCGTGTGGTGTGGTGCAAATTCTGTTGAAGCTCACAGATGATATTGTCACTTTTCGTGGCAGGCGCAGTACTTTGCTCGGGCTTTGAGGTGTGGAAGTGCGATGTTCGTGGCAGGCGCAGGGAATCGTGAGGTTGCGAGGTGTGACGGAGGTGACATTTCGTGGCAGGCGCAGTACTTTGTGCGCGTCAGACGTGTGGACGCGGAAAGATTCGTGGCAGGCGCAGGGAATCGTGAGGTTGTGAGTTGTGGTAGAGGTGAATGTCGCTGTCACATTGGGATTGGCGTGTGAACGGGTGTTGTTTGCAGGGGCTGCAATCGTGAAACTGCTTGGCAGGACTGCGTGATGTGTGTGCTCCGATGGGTGTTTCCGCTTGACTTTTGGAGGAAGGCTCGTTCGAAACGCTCGTTTTGGAGACTTGACGGGTGATTTTTTGAGGAAGTCTCGTACGAAACGCTCGTTTTGGAGACTTGACGTGTGACTTTTTG